CTCTTGGATGAAGGGCATAGCTAGGTTTCCCCTTTAGGTTTATTTAGCTCAGAATTTGGAGGTTTCAGTCCATAATCAGTTGGCTCCAAGGCAGGGTAGCACATGGAAGAGGGCAACAGTTCATGTTGGTGGAAAACTGCAAAAGCAACAAGAGCAAAAGAGGGAGGAGCAGAAAGACCAAGCCTCTTTCACTCCCTTATATTGCATGCACGCTACTCTCCCCCAGACAGGTGTAGCATTCATGCCCATGATCCCAGCATTGGCCCATGAGCCAATCGCAAGTTCTAGAAGCTTGTCCCATGACTGCATGAGCCTTTTGGGGGAAATCTAGACACAAACCATAAAGACTGTAGTTTGTCTTTAGCCTACTGCACTGATGCTCTGTTGTCTCCAGCCATGGGCATACCATGTAAATCTCCCTTTTAATGTGCAGCCTATTGTGTTTGGTTGTCTCTACCTGTTGGGTCTTGGCTTGGATCTTTGTCTCTTGATTCTACCACCGATGTTATAGGTGTTTTTGGATACTCTGTTTTTGCATATCTACTGTTGTTTTGTTTTTTTTTTCACATTGTGAGATATCCTTTCATATGTGCCATTGTACTTTTTGTGTTTTTAGTTACATTTGTAACTTGGTTTGGGCATGTGTTTCTTCTGTCAACTGTTTTAGTTGCTCTGTTTCTTTTATCTGCTGGTCAGACTGTGTTGCCTTACATTTGGCAAATTTTTGAACCTCCTTGGCTTCTTTGGTCACTCGCTGAGTTGTCTCTGTCTTAACATGTAGTCTTTATAGCATGTTCAATTTTTTGTCTGTAGTTGTTCTGGGCAGCCTCTTGGACCAGCTGTAGCTGGTGAGCTGACTCTTGTTTCATATGCTTCCACAGGCAATGAGTCTCTTTTACCTTGGCCTTGAATCATTTGATTTCCTCCAGTGTACCCTTGTGCTGCCTTGTGGCTTTCTCTTCAGTTGTCAGGCTCTTTTGTGTATGTTTTTCGGCCTTGAGCCACCACTGTTTTTTCTCTGCTGTCAATTATTGCTGCCAAGCAGCCCCCAATTTTGCCTGTTTCTTGATTTTTAATGTGTTTTCAGCAATGTTGTAGATGTGTCCCAGCTCTAGTTTTAGTTTTGTCTTGTCACCAGTAACTTTTTCAAAGTTCACCCTCAGTGTGAAGATCTTTTCTATTCATTGCTCTTGCCTCAGTGTGTTTTTTATTAGCCCTTTTTGTTGCTTGACATTACTCTTTGGTATATTGAACAGTTATGTAAGGTTTTGCTCACTGTCAACCTTGTATTGTCTTTTCTTTATCCTGTGGCCCAAGGTAATTTGGGAATAGAGTGTAAATCTCTTTTCAGTAGGGCACCGAGACAGTTTGGAAGATACAGGAACTTATGTTAGGTCTCTTTTTTATGATATACCTCTCACACCAGAAAAATGGCCCCTTTTGGGGACTCCAGCAGCTCTAACAATAGTCATGTGATTCTTGGATAACAGCCCAATGGTCTGTGTCATTACCAAGTGTTTAGTTTTATCATCTACCAAAAAGTCCATAAATTACCCCCCTACTCTCATTGTGAACTTGGGCTTTTGAGTAGCTAAGGGATGGAGCCCAGTTTGGTCTAGTCCTGGTAACATTTAGTTTCTGTCAGTCCAATTAGACACAAAAAACATGTGTCTTTTATTTCTCCCCTTGGAGGTAATAGACTTTTGCAGGCAGCCTCCTACTTTGGGAATTTTTATCATCTGTTACCATTCTGGGCTATTTATTTTGTCAGTATCCACATTTTTACATTGATCCCAATGTAGTTTTCATTGCCTGGCAGATCCCAGCTTGGTTTCACTCCTGTTTCATCAGTGCCTTTATCTTTATCACCTTAGTGATTTTTCCCCCTTTGTGAGAGCTGCTGTCAACAGATCCGGTTTTTTGGGTTTTTTATTTTTTTATTTTTTTGAGCCTCCTATCAGCTTTTTGTTTGACCTCCTGGTCATGATTTACATACATTTTGGTAGTCACCCCTCAAAGCTGGATTACATTCATGCCACCAAAACCCTCTAGGTTTTGTCAGTAAGTAGCTAGATAGGGCTGAAGTGATATGGTTGTAGTCTGCACTATATTTAGCCATAAATCAATGTAGGAAAACTGATCTTAATGTCCTAGTAGTCCGCTGTTTCTGCTCACCATCCTATATGTATCCAAAGTTTTTGTTAATTGACCGTCCACCTGTCCAGTTATTTATGCTCAAAAGAGAGCTCACATATTTTATAAGTAGTTTTTAACCTCTGGTTGTGTCCACTTTATTTTATAGTTTTCCATATAGCCTCTTTTGAAGTTAGCCAATACACATTTTAATGGGATGGCTTTTGGTGCTTTTTCTATTATATCTACTCTGTTGATGCAAATTATTTTTTAAAGCATTTTTATTTCATGTTGATTTGATCATTTTTCATGTGGGAGTTTTTAGAAGGAACAACCTGAACTCCACAAAATTAACAAGTAACCATATATATATTTTAAAGTAAACTACTTCCATAAGGTTTTTTCATTATGCATAAGCTTTTCAGTCTTGTCATTATCTCTCCTTTTATTTCTTTAGCAGGACAAAACTTTTATCATACAGAATCATCTCATATCAAAAGTATACCTCTTATATTTATAGGCTTTTTAATATTTTTCTCTCACTTACTATAAACCTTTTAGAATAAACTTCATTGTAGCTGCTAGAATTTTAAAGTGTCCTTTTTACCCTCAGATAGTAAATTTGACTATTAACAGACATCTGGGTCTCTTTTTTTTGAGACAGTGTCTTGCTGGGTAATACAGGCTGCCTTGAACTCACTTATGTAGCTGAGGCTGGCCTCAAACTCATGACAATCCTCCTGCTTCAGCCCCCTGAGTGCTGGGATTACAGGTATGCATGCCAGCATGCCCAGGCTAACAGACATCTGAGAAACCTTAAATCAGTGGTCTTATCTTAAACCTACAAAAGCAGAGAAAAGAGCACATTAACCAAGTAACTGCAATTTACAAATTTGCAACGCACAAGAAAGGTTTTATGCACATCGACTCAAGCTGGAACCAAAAAGTACATTTGCCAATCAGTTAAAATTTGTAATTTGATTCCTCCTATAAGCCCTCCTTAGGCCTTACAGGACTTTAGCCATTGAGCTTCAAGCTTTCAGACACCTGTAGGCAGCAGCAGGTTGGTAATGCCGAGAAAGAGCTGGCCTTGGGACTTTGTCTCTCCCCACATTTATTTTGCAATGAAAAGGCAACCCCTGTTTCGCTTCTCTAATCTCAGCAGGTGCAGCTGGAACTAAGTCTCTTGGCTTTGTGCCTCTATCTTACGTGGTTGCTCAGGTGTTATTTTTTTAAGTTTCAGTCCCTATCCAGGATAATCACTGTCATCACCACATTTTATAGGGTGCTCCTTTTTTATCAGCCTGCCTGTGGCACCCCACCTGTATTTCCTGGTGCAATAAAGCTAAGCAGCTTCTCATGTCTTTGTCTGTTATGGTGCAAATCATTTTTTTCAATTACTTTCATTTTCAGACTGATTAAACCACTTTCTTCCCCCATTCCCCACCTGAGCCCAGATGACCTTGGGTTTGTATATTTTATTTTGCTCTCATACACACATGTATATACTTCTCTTCTTCTAGCTGTTTTTATCCCAGTGTTGGATTTTTTAGCCCCTCCTGTTGTAGGCCACGCTTGCAATTTCAACACTCTCTGCAAACTTTTCTTGCTACAGGCCACTCCTGCATTTCATTTGGCACTCTCATTATAGGCCTATCCTGCAAACTGTTTGAAAGTCACCTGCAAGCTGCTCTCAGTATGAGCCTGTTGTCAGAGAGTAATTTTAACTGCAGGCTTCCTCCATATTCCATTTGGTGTTATAGGTTTCATCTGACCCAATGTACATCAGATTACTAGGCACATTTCCCCCAGGGCTGATCAGGCTCCCCTTTCTACCTGATGGAATGAGATTTCCCCCCTTGGGCCTTACCACAGCCCGGTAGTGCACTGTTGTGCCAGCATCATCCTGAATCCCATCAGGTTCCATTTGCACTGACAAGGGATAGGTCTCCAAGCTGTGGGAAGGCTGATAACTTTTCCCAGCTGAAGATTCACCTGTTAGCACCAAAGGTCTCAGAAATCCCACTGCTCAGGCCCTCTCTGGTCTGCAGACAAAAGAGACAGCAAATCTGACTTCTCTGTTCCCATCTGGGTTGTTAGAAATGTTGCAGTATGCAAGAGATCTGAGAAATCAATGAAAAATGGAGGATTTATTTCCGGGATTTCAGATGCATATTGACCTAGTTGAACTCACGTCCAAAGTGCTGTGTGTTTAAAAAAAGAAAAATGTCCTAGTTTTATACATTCGCCTGAGGAGATTGATTGGCCTTTGGAAACTGGGGGTGGGGTGGGCAAGCAAGGGTATAGAAAGAAGACAAAGCAGTCAATAAGAGCCTTGAAAGAGGACAGAGCCTTATGAATCCCACAAGAGCAAGATGACATAAACTCTGCTTACAGGATGAAGTTACCAATCTTATCTGTACCAGAACAAGAAGTTTTAGCTACAAGGGTGGAGAGGGGAGTTTAAGGGGGATTGTTTTTTAAGTCTCACTTCAGCATCGTCAAGCATCCACCATCTGTTGGCCATTTCTGAATTCACTACTCTTATAAGTTCGAGTCCATCAGCAACCATTTGGACCAGTTACACCTGCCCTGAAAAAGTGGGAAGCAGGAATGGAACAATGGCAACAGGGCATAGGCACTATGTTGCAGAGCCTGAATACACCTGAGTAGGTAGCAACAGAGCTCAGTTCTCCTAGTTTGTGTTCATTGTTTCCAAATGCTTTTGTAACAAGTTTGCACGTTTATGGCTGCCAACACTGATCCATCTAGTTTCGGGGACTCAAACATCAGCATTGTACCTAGTTGCCAAGAAAATTCATGACCTTTTTCAGGCTGATCACTTCCTCCTCCTTTTTCCTAGAGTCATGTCTCTGGTAAGCCAGAATGGGTACCATCACAACCCAGAGTTGACTGCAGATTAGACCAAAGGTGGGGGTGAAATGAAGGTGGCTAATATCTTCAGCTCTCCCCTGCAAACCCATCCTTGGTCTACTCTAGGGTTCTCATCTTCCAATCAACTGTCAGGGAGCCAGTGCTCAAGTTGCCACTGACCAAATAATATGGAGGTCCTCATCAACAAGCAGTCCTAATATTTGAGGATGCTCAGGTCCACTGCATGATCTAAACAGGTAGATTGCTTTGGTGACTTTCATGGTAATGAAAAGCCAAACTGAAGGTCTGTCCAGTAGTCAGAGATGCTGGAGTTTCTCAGAGAATACTCAGATCAGTTCTCAGAGATACTCAGATGAGATTGAGTTCACTTGCATCAACTCTTAGGTTGATACTGAGGGTTCTTGATCCCCAGGCCAACATCTACAACTCAGTCAGCAAATGGGATTCCCAGACTACTAAAAGACTAGCAGACACCTTGGATATGACAAGGGCAGTTCTTCGGCCTTGGTCCTAGGCCACATCCTCCTGAATGGCAACTGGCAAAAGAGATCTCCATTTGGGACCTGCTGCTGAAGGTTGATGTGTTGGATGACCTTGAGAGGATTAAGAACCTCTTTGGGATTGCAAGAAACCTCCTCACTATACAATTTTGCATATGCAATTCTTGGAGTACTGGTCAGTATATGGCACAAAGCCCCTCAAATGTGGTCCTGTTGTTGCTGCCAGTAATCAAGGATAGGCCATATCTAGGGATGATTTTTCACAACAGCACCCTACAAACTTTTATTGCTCTCTCAGCTTGGATAAGGGCCAGGCCAGCTAAGTGTAGATGAGCACTAAGTCTATCTGCATATCTTTAAACGGGGGAGGCCAGGCCACTGACACAGACACTGAAACCTGAGCTAACTGCAGGGCTCTGGGTGCCAGCACTGTGGCTTGAGCTTGTAGAACATATGATAGGGGCAGGTCTGACTGATTAAAGTGGATCTTCTGGGAGTACTGGGTAAAGTTTTGTTGGCTGGGGTTGATGTTTCAGTCAGTTGGATTCTAGGAGGGGGCTTAGGAGTGCAGATTTGGTGTTGTTGGTGGCAGGTTTCCAAACAGCAGCAAGAAATAGAAGCAGGAGAACTTTGGCCAAAATATCTTTGTGCAAGGTGACCACAGCATATCTAGCCTGTCTGACTCCTTTCCTAACAGAGATACTTCCTTCCTAAACACAGTGTACTCAGCATCTGGCAGGGGATTTATTTTTCAATCATGGTCTAATGGGCCCAGCTTGGTGGGCAGATATCTGGAAGGACTGAGTGGTTCACAGTTATTCAGGAAATCCAGTACAGCATTTGGCACCTGGACGGTTAGGTCTTGGCCTAAGGTAAGCATGTCAACTTTCTTGATCAGAAGAATAGTGGCTATTAGAGTGCAAAGGCAAAGGGGGAGGCAGCTCTTAGTGACCAGATCTAAGTATTTGTACAGGTAGGCCACTGGGCACTCTCAGGGGCTGACAGTCTGAGTAAGCATCATTGTTTTTATGAACTCAAGGATCCAGATTCTATAGAAGCCAGCATCTCCAGATTTTATAGAAGCTATCAACTTCAAGAAATTTGTGGAGTTTCTTTCTTGTAACCAATTTCTGCCAGATATTACAGCAGAGACTTTGCCAGATATTATAGCAGAGATTACAGCAGGCAGCTTGGGAGTCATTAATCAGAAATACAGTGATATTTTGTATTGGGAAACTAGCATGGTCAGCTGTGAAGGCTTCTTCAAAGAGGGTAAACAAGTTTTGAACCTCTGGGAGGTTGAGGCTTGGTCAGTTGATTCTTAAGTCCAGAAGTGGGGTCTTTTCATTTAAAGATGAAGAGATGCTGGATAACAGGAGCCAATCAAAGGCAGAAGAAGGCATCCTTTAGGTCCAGGCAAGTGTAACAGCAGGCTTTAGGTGGTAGTAGACTGACGCAATTGATATGGAGGTCATTTGAGGTGGCATTGGCAGCTCAGAGATCCTAAAGTGATTTTACAGGCAGGAGAGGTATTTTAGCAATTTGACAGCCTACAGACACTTTACAGTTTTAAAGCTTCATTTTTTCTTTCTCAGGAGACTGTGCTGGACTTGGAAGGGACACAGAAACAGGCTGTCCTGGAGCCAAATCTTTTGTTAGGGTTTCCCTGAAATTAGTGGAAGAGTTCCCAAACCTTTGTAGCAATTGAGTAACAGTCCAAAGAGGGTGTATGGGTTGGGAGCCACTAACTATAAGGTTATGGCTGCACTGATGGCATAGAGATCTTGACCAAAGTGATTAACCATCTATGAGGCTGAGGTGTAGTTAGATGCCTGTTTGTGTTTCCTGTGACATCTGACAGCAACGCAGGTCATGTTGAGGCCATATGGTTGATGCCTAGACCCAGAAGTGAGTCTTATTACCCGGGCAACTAACAAATTGAAGTGTAGTTGCTGGCAGGGTATCTTCTGCTACAGACCCACAGGAAGTGACCACAGGACTGACCAGGGCAATATAAGCAGTCTGTGGAAGAGGAGGAAGGCAGAGGCAGATCTGAGACAACTGTCATGTTCTTCTTTGGCTCCATGAGAAGTCTGAGGAAGATGTTGTCACTTCAGTTGAGTGGTATCTGCTAAAGGGATCTTGAGAAAATGGGCACTAGGGCCCAAATTTAGAAGTCAGGAAGCATTGGTAGTAGAAAGTACATATTATTCTTACCATCTGTGTTCTAGTTTTAATAGTATTTCCTTCCTTCTAATTTACCCTTAAGTTAATTTCATGATCAATGTTTATAAATTGCTTATTTTCCCACCTTGTTTTGTTTCAGTATACAAGTTCAGATAGCTATGTAAAATGTATCAGTAATATTTATGATTTTAAATAATCAGTAAAATGATTAGATGCAGAAGTTAAATTACAACAATACACAAAAACATACACAACAAAAACAAAAGCACTAGTCATTGATTGCTTTCCTTTTTGTCTTCTTTTGTGGTAAAAAGATTACCATTTGCCTGTATTTGCCTTGTTGTCCCAGAGTATAATGAAAAATAAAAGTATAATGAATTAGATACCCTGCTTATACAATTTTTTATTCTATAAACATGTATTAAGCCCCTGCACATTCTAAGCAAAGGAATATGTGCTGGAACTATAAGAGTAAAGAAGTCCTAGCTGGGCCCTAGAGCTTAATGGAGAAGAGTCATGGAAGTAAGCCAGCAACTATTATATTGTGCAGTGGCAAGTAATATAACAGGTAGGATTGTGCTATGGGAGTCCAAAGGAATAAGCCTCAAATTTAGGTTCTAGGAGAGACAGCAGAGAATGCAGCGAGGTCCAAGAACTGTTGGGAAATGTGTAAGAGCATGAGTCAGAATGAGAAGGAAAACAGCCAGGAAAAGTTGTGGAAAGGATGGAGGGCTGGAACAAGCTGTACTTTAGTGATATGTATTGTGAGACATGAAGTTGGGGAAAGGGAGAAAAAGGAATGCTTGTGAAGATAGGGGTAGCCTGTAAAGTGCTATAGGGAGATGTGAAAGTAGACACTGTTAAGTTCAGGGAGGGGGCTGTAGGAGCAATAAGTCTGTGGCAAAATTAACAAGGGCCCATATCCTCAGACAGTACCCTTGAGAATCAATATTGGTTTTCCTGAAGGCAGCTAGTCCTCAAGCTTTTGTCATATGGAACAATCTATCTGAAGAAACTTTGTACAGGATATGCCACAAGGGCTCTTTATTTCAGCACCCAAGCTGTTAAGGTGAGTGCTAGCATTTTGGCTCTCTTCATCCTGATTCCTCTCACAGCTTCTAACCCAGCTTGCAGCTCCCCTCAAATCTTTTCTAGGGAGCTTTCAGGTAATATTATCTGAGAGGTATCCGCGGCACTAGGGTGCATATCATACAGAAAGTCACCTCTAAATGTGGTAGGAAGAATGCAGATTTATTCCTTCATCTCTGGCACCCAAAGTTTCCTGCTCTTTTACATCCTTTTAATCACCAGAGGCTACCTCAACTGTCACCTTCTAACAGAAGACAGTGGAATGACACTCCTAACATATTTCAAGAAAAAGAAGATGGTTTATTTGGGAGGAAAAGATGGAAAATAAAGAGGACAGAGAGCTACCATGCAGTGGGAAGGGCATCAGAGCAGAAAGCCCCCATTCCTCACATTTTTGTCATCCTCCAGGAGAGAACAACTTAGAGCTGGGGGAGTACAAAGGGAGAGAAAACATATGCACTTTTGGCCTTCCTGTCTGACTGACTGTGATGCAGAAGCCTAATTAGAGCAGCTTGTGAAAATCACCGGGCAGGATACTTCACTGTTGCCAGGGTGATACAGTCTCCACCGCATTTCACTGATCTCCTGCATTCCAAGAACTAAAGGCTAAGGGCAGGATCTTTGGTGATGAGAAAATTAATAACTGGAAAGACTGAGCTGAAGGAGTTCTGATAAATGGAATGGGGTGGGGTAATGAGGTGGGAGAGTATCCAGCTCAAAATCTAGGGCCTTCAAGTGAAGTCCTACCTCCACACAAAACCTTAAAGTTTTTATTTTTCGGCCCCATTGTACCCTAAATCTATATATACTTGTGTTAATTACATTTTTCTCATTGCTGGGAAAACATGCCTAACACTCAAAATTAAGGAAGGAAAGGTTTGTTTAGCTCACAGTTTGTGAAAGATTAGGCCTGTAATCAGATGACTCCAAGGCAGCGTGGCATGGTGATGGGCAACTGTTCGTGGCAGCAGTAGACAGCAAAAGTAACAAGACTGAAAGGGGTGGACAAGCTTCTCTTCTTCCCTTATACTGTAAACAGGATATCAGCCCCAGGATGGGGGTAGCACTCACATCATCTCCCCTCCCTCCTGTTGCACAGGCTTAAGATGTTTACAAGGTGAGGACCCTAGATCTCTGCTGAGTCAGTTAGTGATACTTCTAAACTTCTCAAGTGAACACAATCAATCAAGCATTACAACATCTTGGACTGTAAACAGCCACTGCAGGGCATGTCCTCTACAACCCAGAATGTAGAACTGCTGAGTTACTTAGTTAAGCTTTTAAACTTCTCAAGTTGATACAATGTATCAACCATTACATTTGTGGAGTAGGGGAAGGGAAAGAAGAAAATAGACTAAAGTATTCAGTTTTTCTTGCTCTAACTTTTTGGCTTTCTGGGTCCTCAAACACTGGACACTCTAGTAAGGCATAATCTGCCAAGGCCAAGGTACGGCACCATCAATGTAAAGGTGCTAATTGTTGTAGTACTAAATAAATACGTGTCAAGCCCTGTGCTGGGTTTTTCATGCTCTTAGCTCTAATCTTTCTAACAATATTTTCAAGAAGCATTTTAATATTTGTTTGATACTACAGTAAACTGAGGCTGAACTAATATTTCCAAGGTCACAGAGACAGTCAATGACAGTGAGCTTGAAGTCCAAGCACTAAGAGTACTGATCTGTGTATATTCCAACTTAAATTTGCTGAATTTCTGAAGATACAAAGCAGGGCCAGAGTAGAGAGGCAAGTTGATAGCCCTCAGAAGGTGAATGAATGTAAACCTGAAATCTCTCTAGGCACTTTGAAACATCACCCTTTCTGGGCTTCCAAAAGGGTTGGGGATGTCTTTTGAAATGCTGAAGGAACAATTGCCTGACAGAATTCCTAACTTATCTAGAGCTTCTCAGTATGCAAAACAAAAGCAGGAAAAAGGTCAGTGTCACAGACATCACATGTGGTTTTCCAGAAATGACAAGTGTGATTTGTGGGGCACAAGCCTATGGTGAAGAAAAGGGTGGCAGTCTCTCTATGATCACTGCCACTTCTTTGAAGGCAAAGGGATATCCAGGTACTCTCTGTTCTTCAAGCATTAACTTAATATTTACACTGCCTAGGAGAATATGTAGGGATGGAAGTGGATTTTGGAAAACAAGACATACACAGGGCACTGCATGAATTACTCCACTGTAAATCACTCTTAAGACTTTAGAACAGACCAAATATAATTATTTGTCTACATGATTTAAGTTGAAAAATCAAAAGGCCTGAGTTCAATTACAAATTCTGGGTGCCCTACATACCCAGTTTTGATCAAATGGGGCTTGTAGAATTGATGTTCATTAGATATGAGCTCATCATCCTCTACAATGCCATCCATAGTCCACTTTGACCTATGATTAAGATCTTTTCTGGGTAGATAGGCTTGAGAATATATTCACTTTCAGGAGCTGAAACCCAAGAGTTTATTCTTCTGGAGACCATTGGTTGTTGTGGAAGCTTTTGTCTGTTCTTTCTCTCCATCACTTTCTGTGTACATATATATTCCATACACAAGTAGACATACAGTCCAAGGAATAGCTAAGATCTACTGGTATATGTGGATTTCAAGGCAATTAAAACTTTTGTAACTACTGTTCCTAAATCCTCTTACACTGTTGAGCTATATAATCCCATAAACACTTTCAAGTTCAAAGGACACTGTAGTGTCCTTCTCCCTTCCTACAAGGAATTTCCAAAATGGTTTCAGAAAACAGCTTCTCTCTTAATAGATAATCATCAATGCCTTAAAAAATTCTCCACAGACAGGATTACTGGTTAGATGTAAAGTAGTTGAAAAGGAAAAGGGAACTTCAAGACAGTTTTGTTCTAGATTCCATTAGAATAAATCAAGCATCTCATAAGGAGAGGGACAATACATTAGAATGATAAAGAATTCTGGATCTATACAGTGCTGATTCTATCACTTACTGGCCCTTAGACAGGTTATTCAACATCTCTTTCTAGACAACTTGTAGCTATTTTTAAGAAATTGATAGAAAAGCTCAAGGCCACACATATGCTATTTGATGGTGTCAGAACTGAAATCAATGCCAGTGGTATCCTAATCTAATAACTGCATGCCAAAACTTTGCTATTAAGATTGATACTTCTTGACATCTTTGTAGCTAAGTCTGAATGAATATTGGGTTCACAGGATTGCTAGTCTTCACTTTCTTTAGTAAATACTTCAGGTAAATATTAATCCTCAGTGGTTATGAAATAGTGAGATTTAGCTGTATTATTTATGTATTATTTTTCAGACATTCAAACAAAAGACACTTAGGACGAGTGTCATGAGCAGTCTCTTTAAGCAGATCTCAGTGTCCTAAAATAAACCAGCTGCTTTACGTGCCCCTCAGGGATTCCCATTCAGTGAGGATGATTTCTCTTCTAAGGGTGCAAAGTTAGGAAAAGAGTTGGGAGCTGGAGTCTAATGTCTGAGCAGTATGCTTCAAACTACCCTCCTTGAAAGCACTTGGTTTGGCACAAGTTCATCAGGGTAGAGTTTTTGTCCTAGGAGTATTCACTTCCCTTGAATACAGAAGTCAAAGAGAATGAAGAATGAGAGAACACAAGATGACCATGGATTCAGAAGTTTCCCTCTGTTCTGAAAGTTTGAACACAGAATAAAGAAGCATTCCTTCCTGTGAGGTCAGCAGGCAACATGGTACCACATGGAAGTTTCAGCCTAGATTGTTCTTTTGCAATATAAAGAGGGCTGTTATCCTGGGGTAAGGTATTCATCATTGCATCCAGTGAAGGAGAGGACCCTGACATCTACTTGGTGGGGCCTGGTGTGAATTACTGAATCTACATAAGA